GGGCGGGGGTGTGGGGGTGTGGGATGGTAGTTAGGAATGGGTGCTCGGTGGCCACCGGAGCCCACGCAACGCAGCCAACGCAGCGAGCCAGCGAGAGCGAGCGAACAAGGGCGGAGTCAAGCAAGGCCAGCCAGCCAGCCAGCCGGGCCACAGAGGGAGAGGGGGAGGCGACAGGGATGAAGGCCAAAGGGCGGGCGCGGGCGGGCGGGGGGATCTGCCTTTTGCCTCCTTTTGCTTTTTCGCCTGGCCCGCCTGGCCATGGCCGTGGCCGCCTGGCCGCCCCGACCGCGCCTCCCCGCCTGCTGCCTCTTCACAGCCAGGCCGGGGCCGCCGCTCTCGTCTCGTCTGCGCGTCCATCCATCCATCCTGCATCTCTGCTTCCTTCCGAGCATGCTATGCACAGCAGCCTCCACCCCAGCCCATCCCAGCTGGTCGGGCTCCCGGCCCTGCATCCGTCCGCGCTTGCGATGCAGGCCGAGTTGCAGCCGGGCGGCGGTGTGACGGGCTGGGCTACGGGTTACGGGCACACTACAACCAGACGGAATCCGCTTCATCTCGTCGTAGCCGCGGAGCCGGCATTCCTCTGCAAGTACAGTTTTGCACTCTGCCTGGCACATCACAATCGGGCGGTCCAGGCATCATGCATACGGGCCAGTCGTGCAATCGCGTTGCTTCGTTGCATGCTGCAAGCGAGGTTGCGGTATGCATGCATGCACGCAGATGCAAGGCAGACGGACTGAGGCGTGCAGGCGTGGATCGTGCCCGGCCAGACCGGTCCGCCAGTGCAAGCGCAGCCAGTCAGCGATCAGACTGGACCGGCAAGGTCCCAGCTTTGGTCCAGTCCGAGTCGGTGTGTGGTGACCAGTCGAATCCCGGCACCCGCCAGCACCCGCCTACAGCCTGCAGGCCAGCAGCGGCCAGCCCAGCCAGCCAGCCATGGCCACATCAGCCAGCGCCCGGTACCGGTGCTGCGCGGTTGCGCGAGGCATGAGGGATGGGGAGGAGGCATGAGACCAGAGGGCCAGGGCGAAGCAAGAGCGGAGGTGAAGGGGAACAAGGGAGTCGACGAAGGGGCCGGGGGTCCTTCCGGTCCAGGCCTTGCAGGCCTTGGCCGCCGATTCCTAGCGGGCTTACAAGACCTACGGCTTGTACGGCTTGTATTCGCTGATGGCTCGCAGCTCTCGGGTTCTCGGTCCCTTCTCGACAGTGTCCTCTGCTCTGATGCCCGGCACCGAAAGTGCGGGGGCGCAGGTCGGTCGGTTCAGAATGAAATCGCCGGTTCCACGAAACCCGCTCGAGCCAGCTGGATACAGATTGGACCACGCGAGCCGCGAGCCGTGAGCCGGCGCGAGCGACCAAGCAGCCGCCCTCGCCCGGCGCCCACCAACCCAGCGACAGAGCTACCGTAGCCGTCCATTCGGCCATATTCAAGCAGCTACACTGGCGGCCGGACCGCGCGCCTACGAGGTGCAGCCAGCCATCCGACGAAACTCTGCAGAGCGGGCCAGTGCCTCGACCAGGCCGTGCCGTCAGTCACCGCGCGCTATGCGCCATACCATTTAGACCGGTTCCAACATGGCCCCGCGACTGCAAACATGCATCAAGCGCTCTTTTGTATATCCATCGTCCCGCTGTCATGCCCAAGTCCGGATTGCGTTCTTCGGCTGTCGGCCAGTGTCTGGGTGGGGGATTCCAGACCGGAACGCCAAAGCATGTCGCCATCTGGCATTCTCAAGGGGCAGGGCGGCATCGAAAATCACAGATCGCAGGCCGCCCAGCTTGACTCCGAGGGGTGACCCGAGGGCGCGCGCCCGGCCATGGCGTCTCTGTGAGTCTCTGGCCTGGTGCCTTGCCGCCCGTGCCTGGGCGGACATGCAAGTCTCGGGCTTGGCTTTTGGTCGACACGTCCTCTGGCCTCTGGCCGCATGCGTCTGTCTTCGACCCGGTGACCCTCGGCCTGGCACCTGGCGGTCCTGCACCTAAAGGTTAGCCGTAGGGACTGCAAGACCCGTGAGACAGACGCCGCCGCGTCTTCCTCTTGAGTCGCAGCGACACCGGCCCTCCGCCAGGTCCAGCCAGGACCTGGGTCATGGAATTATGGAATCCACAGCGTGCCCAGAAACTCAGCCAGCCTCAGCCATGGCAAGACAGAAGCCAGCCAGATCTCAACCCACCCCCCTCTGTTATGTCAGCGGCAGCGACACAGACGCGTCCATTGGTTCCCAGCACGTTTGCGATGCCAGCATCAATGGCCCGCTAAGGAGCGGCATGATCTACACACCAGGCCAGTGGCAGAAGAAGTGGGGCCGAGTCGTGCGATTGGACAGCCCTCATGACGAATTCCGTTCTTTCCGTGCTTTCCGTGGATGGGACGTGCGCGTTAAGCGCAGCAGGGCACCGTGCGCGTTTGGTATCTGACCATTCGGCGGAGGAAGGTTGCGGCTGGCTGGGCTGCGCGGGCTGGGAGGCGGCGGAAAATTGCTGGTGCGGCCTTAACATTGTCGTCGAGGTGCAAAAGAGTGTATCGGGCGGGTGTCGTCTCCCGGAGTCCCACGGCCTACGACGCGTGCGACGCAGCTTCGGCCACTTGGCGCTCGGACTTGCACCAAGTCATCTTGGTGCCATGCTCAGTGTATGGGTGAGACACTGCACTGCCTGACTGCGCGGCCTCGGAGGCGCCTCCGACGAGACCGGTGACGCACGCCGCGACAGCGGGGCAAAGTTGTTCATGGGACGACTGCGCCTTCGTCATGCACCATGATACCATGAGCTGTGTGTTGGTTGCGTGTTTCGCATACCTCGCTTGCAACCATTCAATGTCTCTAGTTCTTTTGTGTGCGGTAACTGGGGGCTGGGAGAATGCCAGTCCGAGGGTCGGAAGTCCAGACCGAGTCGGCCGACCCCTCTCCGGCCCTCCGGCCCTCCGGCCCCTCCGACCCCGGCTCGCTCGGTACGAGACCGTGCTGTTGCGCTGTCGGCGAAGTTCGTGAAAACCGCCAAGCATGCAAGGTTTGCCTGCACTCTCACACGATCACGCACACGCGTGCGTGCATGCGCCGTAGCCGCGCAGTCCCATCCGTCTGCAGGGGAAGACAGTCCCGCAGCCGGCTTATCTTGGCGCCACATGGGTCTCACCAGTTCATTGGCCAACATTGGCCCCACGGCAGGCAGTGGCAGTGTTGTGGTGCGATGTAAGACGAGGAAGACGCCGCCGCAGCTCCGCTTCATCACTCGGCATCTCCTTAGCTCCGCCCTCGCACGCATAGGCACATGCACACCGGTGCATTCGCATACGCCGGGCCGCGCGTGCCGCGTGCTGCACGCTGACGCGGTAAGGTCGCCGAAGGACCGACAGGGAATGCGCGGGCAACACCCTCGACCGGCTCGTCATTGGGTGCAGTGCCTGGCAACGATGGGCTGCGGCGATTGGTCAACGCGGCCCACGACGATCATTCGCCTGAGCCTGAACAGTCCTGAACCAACTTGGGTTGCGCTGGGGCACAGCCGCTCAATCGATCCAATCGGCATGCTTCCTGCTAGCGCATCCGGCGCGTCCGGCGAATCCAGCGCAGTCGCTGGCGAGGGGACCGAGACAACACCCTACTCTGGGCCCCTTTGCGGACCCTCATACCCTCGTGCCGTCTGCGCGCGCAGTATGCTGCTTACCTCATAGGCCCTCCCAGACATCATGTGCTACATGCGGAGGAAACATGACATGCATGACTACCCGGGCAAGTGGGTGATGCGCAGCGTACCTGTCGGACGGGCAAGCACGATGCGTTGCACAGGATAATCAGGCGGATCTGCACCGCGATTCGAAGCAGAACCAAACTGGGGCCGATCGAGGGGTGATCGGCGTTGTGCGGCGTGACAAACGCGAGCGCCAGATCCCCGTTAGAGTTACGAGCTGAATTGCCCCGGCTTTTCGCTCACCCAAAGCAAGCACTGAGGCACAGCGTGCAGCATCCAAACCGAGCTCCGCCAGCCTGGCCGCCGCCTGGATGCGGCCGGACCAGCCCGCTCGCTTATTCGGTACGGAATGCGCCAGCACGTCGTGCACGGCATGCATGACGTACGTCGGTTTGCCGTTGTCTGCTTCGGTGTCGCCGAATCGCTGGGGTTACGGGAGCCGCGGTGCAGCCGTCTGTTCGAACGGACAAGGAAAGCACGCCGAAGGTGACACACGCGCCTTGTTCGGCTCCCATGAATCCTGCGCTACGAGCATGATCGTGCGGATCCCAGACCCAGGCCCGCCGCTGGCTCTCATGGGCTCATTCCAGACAACCTCGCGGGACCTGGACCCCTTCGACCCTCCCCACCATGCATACACATGCGCGGTGCTTCGCTGTCTCCTTGGATCACGGACATTACGGAAAGTGTGACTGGCACAGGCTGACCACGAAACGCTAGCCCGTCTCTGTCGCAATTTTGGCCCGTGTCACCCTCTTCGGTTCGGACGTCGCTGTGCAATTTGTCTTCTCCGGCCCGTATCCCCGTGTGGTGAGTAGCCAGCTGATGTGTCAGGCTGGCGTACGTCAGGTTCATCTGATGGCCCGAGTCTGGGCGGTACGCACCGCTCGGAGCTCCCCGGAACACCGGAGCCAGGCATCTGGGGCGGAGTCGACCTGACCCCGAGCATCACGCGGACACGGGCTGCAACCTAACGCATAACTTCCAGGCCGGTCGACGCGTACGCAACCAGATCTGGAGAAGGCTGAGAAGTGGCTTGGAGCTCCCAGTGTCGTACGGTCACCGCAGCCTTCCCATGAACACAGCGCAGCACTGCATCCACCGCGCCGCATGCTACACTGACACCGGCGAAACACGATAGGGGCGGAGATAGCGCTAAACCGAGCAGTGGAGCTCGGCGCCGCCCCTGAGCTCGAGCCCGCTCCCACGCAGGGAGTGGGGGCCACACTCGGCGCGACCGGCGTCATCCAAGCCCTCATGCCGACCTGCCGAGGCTGTCTCGGTCTGATGTCTGCAGACTTGGAGCTGAAAGTGGCGAATGCCTCACTAAGACGCTATCGGTCCGCGGAACGGAATGTCAGCGCTGCGGCCATGTCAGGCTACTACCGAGTGTCAGGTCATCACGCATTTGGCGCCTGCTGCGGCGAAGCAGAAGCGGAGACGGAGCATGCAAAAGTCGCCGCAAGGCATGCGCTAATGCAAAGTGCGGAATCCCGAGAAAACTCAGACGGCGAAGAGGAGGCGGGAACTCACCCGCACCGCGCTTACGCCGCTCACTCTTAAGCACTCTGTGTGCCGCTCCGGACTGTCCCTATCTCTTCACGACAAGCGAGCACGACTTCCGCGCCCAGACTTCTCCTGTACTCCTGTGCTTGGCTTTCTTGTCTCTGGTCGTTGCATCGCCGCAACTGTGCGGTGCTCAACCCGCCGGAGTCGAGGCTGGCCACTGGTCAGACCGCAAGAATGGGCGTGTGGGCGCGAGGCGTGGACGTCGTTAGCTCTGATATTCCGCTCACATTAGAACCGCACACTGCCAATGAGCACGGTGTTCAACGGTCCGAGCACCTATTAGGGCCAAAGCTAGCCTCACTTGCCCGCTATGTGGACGTGGCGATAGGGTGCGGACCTCGATGAGATCTCGGTGGCGTGTGTGCGACGGCGCAGAAAATCCGTGCGTGGCTTCCATGCTTTGTTGACGGTGACTGTTGTGTGTGCTGCGGTGTGGCAGCGAGCATCCGCGTGCACACAGAGGGCAACGATGCACTTTGATTGCTGCGCCTGTAATGCGCGATGACAGCGAACCCTCCATACGCCATGAGGAAGAGAGAAGGAGGTTAGCCACGGTCGCGAACATCATCGGAAACACTGATACGGAGTCGACCTCCGTGCTCTAGGTTGCTGTCAACACCTCTCCACCTCACACCAACTAACGCTGACTTGGAACACGGCTTACTCGTGTTATACATGTGACTGTCGACAGTTGCCAGTACCTGACGTTAACTCGTACGGACCCCGTTCTTCGGCACCTGGTCGCAGAAGTTCCGCGCAACGAGCAAGCCCCCCTTTCTACCTGTATCCTACAGTCATTCTTCCCCAAGTCGCCTCAAAGACAGGTGACCTGATCACGGATAACTGACGAGCTGCGCCGAGCAGATCCACTAACACCAAGAGCGACATGTGGACCGCCGAATGTTGTCCGCACTTGCTACATCCCTTGCCCGACTGAGAACAGTCTCTTCCTGCACCGCAACCTCACGAGCGAGCCACCAGGTCCTCACTACGTGGGGGGCCGACCATCACCCAAGGCCCGCCCGTGTGTCTGCAACGACAAGCACGCCGGCCTGCCCCCTCACAACCCTCACATAGGGCCACTCCGCGGCGGGGTCCGCCCGGGGTCCGCCATGACCAGCGAACTTCGTCCAGGCCGGCGCCCGCTGCCACCTCCTGTTCCACAACTTCCCCAAACACGTTACGCAAGCACGCCTCTGTCACTGGATCAGATAGAAACGAACTTACCGCTAACGACGGGGGGCTGGCCGCGTGTACTGCATTGTGCCGAGTCGTGGCATTGTAGACGATCATTCCTAGGGCCAAGGGCACCATCGACGCCCCCAGCACTAGCCGCTCGTTCGTCCGCTCCGATCAAGTGGCAACGTCCAGAGGAAGTCACCCGCCGCCCGCTGTATCCGTCAGGCGAGGAGCCTGAGCTATATTGTGGTCCCCGACTTTGGCCTGACCCACATGGAACTTTGGGGAGGAGCAGACCTAGGCTTACAGGTCAGGAAGGGCACAGCGCTGGTCACTGTCATTTCGCGTCCTGACATCAGGATGAGACTCCCCTTCCCCGTGGGTCGGCCAGACTGTTGTCAGTCTGTCGGAAAGCTCACGACTGCTGAAACAGCCACCCTCCTCGAGTTCAAGAGCTGCAGGGTCCCCGACGATGGCTACCTGCGAGCCATGGCGATGGCGACACTTTGATCGCGCTTGACCGACGTTGTAGTGTGCTGTGCCATCGAGGTGTGGTTCTGTGAACCAGTTGATGGTCCGCACATACTATAGGAGACGCAACGTTGCTCTTACTACAGACCTTCAGCTGAGCTCAAACCTTACTTCGCCTGCATTGACGCGTCGGCAAGGGGCAGAGGATTGAGTGAGTGAGCGAGCTACCTCAAGACTGCCTGGTCATATTCTTCATGCCTTTAGCTACTTGTAGTCGACTCTCCGCGCTCGCGGCCTCGTCTTCAGGAAACACGTCATGGTCAACGAAACAGCCTACAGTATTGGAAGCAGAAACAGTATCATGCGTTGTTGATAAGCTCTATCGCCCTTCGGCTAGTTGTTGAGATCGCCATCGCTGCTGACAAACTAATGGTTCGACGGGCGATTTGCGACTCCCTCCGCTTTAGTTGCGGCCCTTCGCGGGGGCGAGACCAACGGCATTGCGTTCCAGGTCATAGATGGAGATATAGGACCTCAAACTTTTTTTCTGTTAGCAGAGAGCAAAAGGGAGGACTGGGAAAGGAATGGAAGTGACCGGAGGAGTGGAGGAGTGGAGGAGTGGCGGCGAGATGGTAGAAAGGTGGAGGTAAGTGTTGCAGGTGTAGTCGGCACTGAGGCCACCCACACACAGGTAGGTGTAGAGAGAATTGACAGTGAAGAGAGACTTACAAGGCGTCACCGATGATCCAGATGGGACCCATGGGGGGAGGGATGTCCATGCCCATGAAGGCCGAGATACAGGTACCTCCGGCGTTCAGGACGTAATCCTCACCCTTGATGGGGAACTTCTTGCCGCCAAAGTTGAAGGTGAGGTCGGGAAGCGAGGGGACCTTGGAGCAGTCGACGGTGTACTGTCCGTTCCAGGACTTCTCGGCACCGATCTCCTTGTTCAGGATCTCAGCAATGTCGGTGGGGAGAGCAATGAGCGAGGTTCCGGTGTCGATAGCAGCACCGGTGTTCTCGAGAGGGAGCTCCTCGTCGCCGAACTTGATGCCCTCAAGCTCGACCTCCCAGTAGCCCTTGCGGCGGACAGGGATATAGATGGGCTTCTCGTCAGACCACTTCTTGTCGTAGCCACCGAAGATGCACTCGCCACCATCGTCCTCAGACGAGCCGAGGCGGAACGAGAAGACCTTCTCGTCGAGGAGGTTCTGGTCGATCATGTTGTAGAACGGGGGAGGGATCTGGTTGACCGAGATCGTGTTGTAACCCAGTCCGAGGATACCGTCGAACTTGCCGAAGACGAAGGCCATACCGGGCTCCTTGGTGGCCTCGGCGAAGAGCTGGTCCTTGACCTTGAGGCCGGCGATCTCGAGGGTGTCCTCAGAGACAAAGCCCTCAAGGGAGCCAGAGCCGTAGCGGATAGCGAACTCGGAGCCGTTGGCCTTGTAGGTCGACGACTGAGAGTTGTCGTACTTCTTGTGAAGCTGAAGGTCAGTTTATGTCAGAGAGTATCAACTCACGAAGCAGGCAATCGACGAGCACTGAACGGAGGGGACCCAGAGGTTGGACGATCCAGTGTCGAGGACGACGCCGAACTCCTGGGGAGGCGTACCAATGGTAATCGGAGCGTAGTACTGGGCGTTCATGTAGTCTGTTTCGCAGTCAGCTCTGACACCAGGGTCGGGTGGCAAGTCAGCGGCTACTCACTGGAAAGGGGAACGCCGTGGCCGCCCTTAAGAGCGTTCTCGTTCTCCTCCTCAATCATCTGGGCCCAGAGGCGCTCACCGTCACCCTTGTTGGTGCGGAGAGGGCGGCCGGCACCGCCGAAGCCGCCGAGGACCTTCTGAGCGGTGTCCTGCATGAAAGCACCGGCGTGCTTCTGCATGAGGAACTCGACCTCCTTGGCGACGTCATGGTCGAGGAGTGAAGCGGGGTCGCGCTTCTGGAGCTTCATCCTGGCGATGTCAGCACGTTGAGATGGCTCGGCCGAAAGCGCTTGCGCGGCGCGGGCTGCGGATTCCGAGTGGCAAACAAAGACTCACCTGTGGACGGCGGCGTCAACGCTGCCGAGGGCGGCGAGGACGGCGATGAGAGCGGCGGTCTTCATGACGTCAAGGAGTGCAGGGGGATTGATGTCAAGAAGAAGGGGTGGATGGTAAGGACAGTGAGTATCGACGGAGGGGATGAAACCGTCGGTGATGAGGAGGATGGAGGAGAGACTGGATAGTTTATGAGAGCCCTCTGCGATGAGCTCACTGTGGGTGTGTGGTCTGGGGACCTGGGGCTGGGCGCGGGTGAGGGGCGCAGGAGGCTGGGAGGCCAGAGGACGGAAAGGTCCCGCTGATCCGAATGAGTGAGCGTTCTAACCAGTTGCAACAAGTGCCCGATATGGGCATCGACTGATCGGTGACGTCAGCGTGCCATGTCTCTTCCTTTCCGCTTGGCCCGTAGACCCCCATTTTGTCACTCACTCTCTTCTCAATGTGCATCCGGCTTGCTCGAGAACGTAGACTGCACGGTCTGTTCCGGCCCGAGTGCGACCTTCTTGCTCATGCATGTGCCAGATAGACTCGAATTTAAGCTCATGGAACAGTCTAAGCATGAGTGGGGCTTCCAACCTCACTGCACGCCCCGTATGATCGACTCCGATCGCTCTACGCCGTCTGTCGCTGCTGCGTGCGAAGGGGTTGGCACACCATTGACACGCGTGCGGGTGTGTGACGCGCCCCATACCGTGTTTCCGGTCGGCGTCTCGGAACAGTCACGCTCACCGTGGCTCCAGCGCGCTGACCCACTCAACAACTGATTAGCAGACTGACCACGTTCCCCACACCGCCCATCTCCGTGTGAAGCGTCTGTGTTGCAACTGAGTCGATCCACCATCCTCCCGCTCCTATGATTTAAAGTATCTCCTCTGAACCTCACCGTTGCCTATTGCTATATTGCTTCGTGCGGTCCCAGATGAACCAGCCTATAAGCCCGCGTGTGAGCTCGACGCTCTCGGTGGCTTGAGGTGGAGGTGTCATTCCGAGGGCGAGGAATGTTCGGCCGGGCGGGGCCTCAAGTGGCGGCAGTGCTCTCCCACGGTGACTTCCCTATGCTCGACCTCCACCACCATCGACCAGTCTCCGTGCTCGGCCAGCGTATCAGCCCGCGTAGCCGCGTAGCCGCGAGGTAGCCGGTCGAGTGTATTGCCGAGAGGGCCACTTATTGATTGCGCCAACTGACCAGCGAGCAAGGACAAACCACAAAACGTCAAGCTCGGCGCGACTATCGACTTTCGGACCAACTGTTGGATTGTCTGTCTGTGTCTCACACACCGCATCAGCTACAATCACACACCGATGCTCCGCCACGCCCCCACCCGCGCCACTCGCTCAGCGCGCTCAGCCCTCCGTGGCATTCGCGGACTGCAGAGCACCCCCGCCGAGTCGACCTTCTCCCTGCAGAGTCAGCTTCCCCGCCTTCCCATCCCGACGCTCGAGGAGACGGCTACGCGGTACCTCAAGTCGCTTGAGCCTCTGCTCTCCGCCGAGGAGTTCAAGGCGTCGCAAAAGGCCGTAGCCGAGTTCATCGCGCCGAACGGCCTCGGTCCCGTGCTCCAGCAGCGTCTGCAGGCGGTCGACAAGGCGGCGCCGTACTCGTGGCTCGAGGACATCTGGCTCACGAAGGCGTACCTCGAGTGGCGCGACCCGTCGTACATCAACGTGAACTGGGCCGCGCTCATCGGCGACAACGGAGTCGCCATCCTCCCCAACAGCGCCGTCAAGCGCGGCCAGCTGAGCGACATTCAGGTCTCGCGCGCGGCCCGCGTCATCAGCAACATGCTCGAGGCCAACGAGCAGATCAACACCGAGACCTTCCCTGTCGACAAGGCGCGCGGTGCACCCCTCGACATGGCCCAGTTCAAGCGCCAGTTCGGCACGACGCGTATCCCGAAGGCGGGCTGCGACGAGATCCGCTCCGAGTGGCCCTGCACTGCCCGCCACATTCTGCTGATGTACCGCGACGTCGCGGTCGAGGTGCCCGTGTACAACAGCGCGGGCGAGCGCGCCTCCACGTCCCAGATCGAGGCCCAGCTCCGTGACGCGGCCAAGGCAGTCGACGCGCAGATCGAGGCCAGGGGCGCGCAGCCGTCCGTCGCGAACCTGACCGCCGCGCACCGCGACCACTGGACCAAGGCGCGCGAGCACCTGATCCGGGACAAGCACAACGTCGAGTCGCTTGACAAGGTGGAGCGTGCGCTGTTCGGTGTGTGCCTCGATGTCGACGTCGACCCGTCTACGCTGGACAACATCGAGGCCAACTGGGCGCAATACGCGCATGGCAACTACACGGCCGAGAACAGGTGGTTCGACAAGGCGATCGAGCTCATCTTCCTGCAGAACGGGCGCATGGGCGCCTGCTGCGAGCACACGCCCGTCGACGCGCTCACGACTGGACGTTTGCTCTTCGAGTCCCTGGCGAAGGAGCACGGCGAGCACTCCTCCGCGGGAGCGAGCGACCTCGCCGCGCCCCAGCCGATCAACTTCAACCTCGACGCCGAGGACGTCAAGTCCATTGACGAGGCGCGCGACGGCGCAAACAAGCTCGCGAGCGACCTGCGCTGCCTCTTCGACCTCCAGCCCGCCTTTGGCGCCAAGTGGATCAAGGCGCTCGGCGTGTCGCCCGACGCCTTCTTCCAGGTCGCGCTGCAGGCGGCGTACTACAGGCAACACGGGGGCACGGCCGCCACCTATGAATCGTCCAACCAGCGCAAGTTCCTGCACGGGCGCACCGAGACGATCCGCTCCTGTACGTCCGAGGCGCTGGCGTTCTCCCAGCTGCTCGACGACAGCAGTGCCGACGCAAAGAGGAAGATTGACTCGTTCAAGCACGCCGCCGGTGTCCAGAATGCACTCACGCTCGCGGCGGGCAATGGACAGGGCGTCGACCGCCATCTCCTCGGCCTGCGCTGCCAGATGAAGCCCGACGAGGCCGCGGCCGCTACGCTCTTCAACGACCCCGCCTACGCTAAGAGCACGACCTTCATCCTCTCCACGTCCAACACGGGCGCGGGCGATCTGTTCCGCGGCGGTTTCGCGCCCGTCACCGGGGCCGGATATGGCGTCAACTATGCTGTCGACCCGAAGAACATCAAGATCACCATCTCGGACTGGAAGTCGAGCAATGCCACTGATGCCCCGGCCTTCAAGAGCACGGTGCTCCAGACCCTTGCCGATGTGCAGAAGCTCGGCGAGCAGGTCATGCAGGAGTAAAAAGCAAGCTTAACTCAGTAGACAAAACTAGAATGCACGTCATCATCACGCGGTGAGTGCTGGTGTATGGAGCAATATGCATATATCACATAAACAAGATTGAGCATGCTGGCTAGGGGTTGGGGGCTGTGGGATGGGGGGTGCGGGTATCTTGCAGACCTACGTCGCCTTACGTCGACTTGAGCGAGACCTCGGAGAGGACGCGGAACGCCTCCTTGTACGCGTCGAGGAGCGCCTTGACGCGGCCGCGCTCCGACACAAGCGCCTCGTCCTCGTGCAGGAGCTGCTCGAAGAGGTCGGGCTTGTATAATTGCGTGACGAGGCGCTGCTGGATCGCGTCGCGCGAAAAGTTGACGAGCAGGTGCATGATCGCCTTGGGGATCAGGTCCTCGATCGTCTGGCGCACAATGTTGAAGTAAGACGCGATCAGCGACAGGATCAGGTTCGTCTCCATCTGCTCCCGCGGAGAGAGGTCCATGTGGTCGTCGCCGTCCAGGTGCTTGCCCAGGCTCTTCATGTCGTACGCCGTGGCACTACCAGGGTCGAGACCAGAAGAGGCCGTTCGCCGCCGACGAGCCGTGGTGCGATGGGTTCGAGCGCTCAACAACGCGCGGGCGGACGTGGTGTCCGTGGCTCGAGCCGGGCGCGGACGACGAGTCGACGGGCATACCGTTCGGGCCGCCGAAGAAGTAGTTCAGGAACGACTCCTTGGCGTTGTGGGGGGAGGCACCCATGTGGGGCATGGCAGGAACAGGCGAGGGAGCACCGCTGGACGAGAAGCCGCGGCCGTGCTTCTTCGTCGACTCCAGAATCTTAGAGGCAGCGGGCGCGCGCGCATCCGGAACGGACGTCGTAGAGGAATGCGGGGCGTGGTGCGGTGATGTGCCGTTCACGACCGAAGCAGAGCTCTCCGACGAGGTGTCGTCGTCGGAAGCCGAGCCGTCAAGCGAAGGAGCCTTCTGGGGCTGGAGCTGGGCGTGGGCACCCTGCTGGGCGATGGCGGCAGAGCCCGCCTGGAAGTCGGGGTGGTTCGTGTTGATGTACGCAGCCTGGATCTGGATCAGGCTCGAGACATACTCAGAGGTAGGGCCGAGGCGCTCGCGGAGCAACTCGGAGACAACCTCGATCAGCTGGGCGTGGAGCTTGGGGAAGCGCTGGAGCTCAGGCGAGGTGCAGTTGTGGCAAATCTTCATGAGCTCCTCGTAGACGAGCTCAACACAGCGAAGCGAAGGAGGCTCGAGCAGCTTGATCTGGGGCTTGACGAGCAGGTCAAAGGCGACCTCGGGAACAAACATCGAAGGGCGGGGTCCAGTCGAGTTGCGGATCGCAGTCCGGACATCGGAAAGGGTGAGGTTGTGGGTGGGGTTGATTGAGGTGAGAGCGTGGCCAAACACGTCGTTGAAGATGTAGTAGATGCGCGCTCCGCCGCAGAGCTCCTTCGTCGACACGTCAATGGACGTTCCCTCGATGGACGAGACAAAGTCGCGGGCAAACTCGGTCATGAGCTTGAGGACAAGGCCACCCTGCAACAGTCAGCGATCTGAATCCTTGCGCACGAGCGGTCACGCGAGACACTTACGCGGTTCTGCTCGCCGAGGAAGGTGGCGTCACCAAACGAGTTGAGCTCCTGCTGAGTCTGACCCATCAACGTGTTAAGTCGGGCCTTCATGTCGGGGAGCTTTTCCCGGATGTGGTTCATGAGGACAGTGTTGAGCGTCTTCGCGAGGAACTTGGTACCGCAGCGGTGCGAGATGTTGCGGTAGACAGGGTGGTTCTGGAAGAACTCCTCCTCCTTACGGCGGGCGTCCTCGAGAGGGAGGTCGAGGTTGATATCCTGCTGCGAACGGTTGACAACACCGATGAAGCCGAGCTTCAGCGGGTAAGTCCTGCCGGTGAGGACGTCGAGAGCGTTAGTGCCAGCGTCCATAAGGTCCAGCTTCGAGAGAACACCGAGAGTGCGGAGACCGCGGGGGTCGACAGTCCGAGCGAGCTTAAGGGCATCGGAGTTGGCAAGGTCAACGTTGGCGGGCGAAACTGCAAGAATAACACTGAAAGGTCAGCTAAACAAGCACCTCCTAACTTACGCGTTGGGCTTGCTAATGTAGTCGAGGACGAGGTTCTTGATCTGCCTCTCAATGTCAGTCGGCTGGTCTCCGACCGGAACCTTGGTCAGACCGGGGAGGTCAACAAGGGTGAGGTTGAGGAGGCCAGAGCCGTAGATCTTCAGGTTGATCGGAAGCTTGGAAACACCCTGGGCGTTAGCTTCAGTAAGGGACAAATAGCTCACCTTGTTCTGACCAGCGACGCGGAAGGTCTCGGCCTCGATCTCTCTCCTGACCTCGTCAAAGTCGGTGAACCGACGGTTGATGTGAAGGAACTCGGCGTAGTCGATGCCAGAGTCGCCGCCCATTGACCGGTCGTTCTTCCTGCCGGTCTGGCCGGCAGACAGGTCGGGGAGATAGCCATTCTCGTCGAGGTGGTTGCTCTGCTGACGGCTGGGTTCCGGGCGCGCGTTGGAGCTCTGGTTCTTACCCGAGAGGCCGTTCGTGTGGATGAGCTGGAGGACGAGCGGGCGACGCGTGACGATACCCGAGCCACGGGGAAGGAAGTCTCGTCCGACGATGGTCTCAAGGACGGACGACTTTCCCGAGGACTGGGAGCCGACGACTACGATCTGGGGAAGGTCGACGGCATCGCCACCAATGGCGTTGAACGTGTCCTGGAGCTTGTTGACAAGCGCGATGAGATCACCGTCCATGCTCGCTAGTGATGCGTTGTGTTAGCAGCAAAGAGAGAGTGGAGGGGTGGGTGTCCTGGACGAAAAGGTCGGGTGTTGGTGTGCGAAAGGCAGAAACAAACGGGGGTTCGGTTTGTTGTATCCACTGGACAGGGTCCCGTTTGAGTTTGGCGGACGGTGCAAAGAAGGAAGGGTGTTTAGGTGGTGCCGAAGGGTCGACGCAAAGTACGAATTTTGTCGGCAGCGTAAAGAGATGGGGCTGCGAAGGGTGTGGAGGAGGGCGACAAAAAGAGACTGAGCGCGCTTTGTCGGGCTAGCCGAGACAAGTGGTGAGGAAAGAGAAGCGGTTGGGAGAAAGGCAAAGGGAGACCGGGATCCGGGTGGCAGAGGACTTGTCGACGGTGGTGAGCGGTGGGTGTGCTTGTGAGTAGGCGAGACGCTGGTACGCTGGCAGGCAGGCGCGGCAGGCCGAGTGTGCGCGCTGCCTGCACGCTTGCCTGTCTCTCGGCACCAGGTCCGTTGCCTTGCCCCGCTCGCATAGGCTGGCCAGACACTCGCCAACGGTGGGTCCGGGAGTAAAACCATTGGAATAGGCCTGGACAATTCGCGCCTATTGCACCAATCCTCCTTGCCCGCGACGTCATTCTCAGGAACCAAACAGGACCGTCAGAGGAAAACGACAGGCTGGAACAACGGCACCTGGCCCCGCCCAATCCCCCGTCTGAGACGCGTCCAGTGACAGTCCGAATGCATCTCCGGCCTCCTCACTGGCTGCCCCTCCTCCGCTGACTCGAACTCGTGGCAAGACTGCAACCCAGGTTATGCATGTTGCTTTACTTCTCCATCGCACACTGCGTCACATTGGTGACAGGCGGGTGACAGCCACCCTTTGTTTACATCGCTCACTTAACTGCAAACGTTGTTTACAAGTAACGCCTTTTTCGAAACTCAAAGATTGCGGGGAACCAGTCTGTCGCCGATCAGCACTCGATCACCATCGTCATCGACCACCCGCCAAGTTTGACGGAGGCGGCTTCGCTTTGCCTTCCCCCATCTCTCTGCCTGTCTGAGGTATAGGTTCAAGTACGGGGAACGTTCGCCTTTGACCTCGCGGTTGCCATGCTGAGTGTGGCTGACGGCGTGTGCGGCATGTTGATCCGTCTCCGTCGTTGCCTCTCAAACTGCACACAATAGAAAGTGTATTTCGGTTCGGTGACCCATAGACGTAGGCGAGGCACGATCTAATCAGTACATCTGACTCCGCTAATAGATTGCTGCGGCACGGCGATGGGAGGTTGTGGAATCCAGAACACGTGACCAGAACGTGTTGATAGCGAAGTACACGGGATAAAATGCGTGTTCGGGAAGAGTCGGAGGCTCCACAAGGATTGCAGGAACGGCCGAAAAATCCGCCCTGGTGCGAAGATGGTGATCAGATTGAGCCGCCGCGGCGCCGCAGCCCTGGTGAGAGGCTGGGTAAACCACGAGGCGCGACGCGGCACACACAGATACGCGATGGAGATTGTGCTGGGGTTTAGAAAAATCGGGCAGTCCGAAGGATGGAAGACGGGGCCACTCAGGCCGCCAATGCCGTCGCTGCATGCTCCTCGTCCTTGCATGTCATGACAGCACGGTTAGTCGTTGCATGTTAACTCCTCTTCATCCCTCTCACCTCTCCCCCTTTCCAAAACAAACCACTTGCCCAAAATGATCTCCCAGATCACGCTCCGCTCGGCCCCCGTGAGTGTCTCCCACTGTACCCACAGCCCTCAGTTCTCCGCGCTCGGTACCGTATGCTTCCGCCATCCCGCATGGCCGCATGTCACGTCTATGGCTATAACCGGCACACCCACACACACACATGCGCCAGCTCTCACGCTGCATGCCGGTCCGGACGAGCGCTCTCTGGCCCTCACAACAACGCGCACGTCCGTTGCCAGGCTGCATCTCTCATGCACACATCTCACTCCATCGTCGCAGCTCCCAGAACGAGCTGCACTTCAGCCTTGACCACCCTCTCTTAATCATCCAGCTAACCCCTTCAGCTTCGTGCCGCCCGTGCTACCCGCACCTTTGCTACCACCTCCGTCATGGCTGAGCAGAAGTACCGCACTGAGTCGGACACCTTCGGTCCCCTCCAGGTCCCCGCCGACAAGTACTGGGGTGCCCAGACCCAGCGTTCGCTCCAGAACTTCAAGATCGGTGGCCCCGCTGAGCGCATGCCCGAGCCCCTGATCAAGGCCTTCGGTACCGTCAAGAAGGCTGCTGCCCACGTTAACGAGACCTACGGCCTCGACCCCAAGATCGCCGGCGCCATCTCGCAGGCCGCCGACGAGGTCATCTCTGGCAAGCTCATTGACAACTTCCCCCTTGTCGTCTTCCAGACTGGCTCTGGCACCCAGACCAACATGAACACCAACGAGGTCATCTCGAACCGCGCCATCGAGCTCCTCGGCGGTGAGATCGGCTCCAAGAAGCCCGTCCACCCCAACGACCACGTCAACATGTCGCAGTCGTCCAACGACACTTTCCCCACTGCCATGCACGTCGCCGCCGTCGTTGAGATCCGCTCCAAGCTCATCCCCGCCCTCCAGACCCTCCGTGACGCCCTTGACGCCAAGGCCAAGGAGTTCAAGGACATTGTCAAGATCGGCCGTACCCACCTCCAGGACGCCACCCCCCTCACTCTCGGCCAGGAGTTCTCCGGCTACGTTACCCAGCTTGACCGCGGCATCGAGCGTGTCGAGAACACCCTCAAGCACCTCTCCCAGCTCGCCCAGGGTGGAACCGCTGTCGGAACTGTGAGTGTTGGCTGCTTACGTGTTGGCCGCACGGGCCGCCTGCGGGCGGTACCGCCGGAATGCAGATGCTAACCCTTACAGGGCCTGAACACCAAGGAGGGCTTCGACGTCAAGGTCGCCGAGGAGATCTCCAAGATCACCGGCTACCCCTTCGAGACCAACCCCAACAAGTTTGAGGGTCTTGCCGCCCACGACGCCATCGTCGAGGCCTCTGGCGCCCTCAACGTCGTCGCCGTCTCGCTCATGAAGATCGCCAACGACATCCGTTACCTCGGCTCCGGCCCCCGCTGCGGTCTTGGTGAGCTCTCGCTTCCCGAGAACGAGCCCGGATCGTCGATCATGCCCGGCAAGGTCAACCCCACCCAGTGCGAGGCCCTCACCATGGTCGCTGCTCAGGTCATGGGCAACAACACCACCATCTCGGTTGCCGGCTCCTACGGCCAGTTCGAGCTTAACGTCTTCAAGCCCGTCCTCATTGCCAACCTCCTCCGCTCCATCCGTCTCCTCACCGACGGCGCCAACTCGTTCACCGAGCACTGCGTTGTCGGCATTGAGGCCAACAAGGACCGCATCAACGCCCTCCTTAACGAGTCTCGTGAGTACAGCGCCACACCTCCACCGCAGTCCACACCTCCACCGCAGTCCACACCTCCACCTCCACCGTGACCTCCACCGCCACACTCCACCCAAAACACCTTCCACCACGAACCACTACTCCTTTCCATCCATCCATGCTCTCTTTTACTTGTGGAGATGAAGTAGAAGCTGACGCGACGCCAGTTATGTTGGTGACGTGCCTTAACAGCACCATCGGTTATGACAACGCCGCCAAGATCGCCAAGAACGCGCACAAGAAGGGCATCACCCTCCGCGAGTCGGCCCTCGAGTCCGGCCTCATCTCCGCCGAGCAGTTCGACAAGGTCGTCCGCCCCGAGCGTAAGTTTGTCCCCCACAGACCGTTAACTGACCCACAGTCATGCTCGGCCCCACCAAGGCCTAAGCCACCCCATCAGGAGATTAGATACGGAAGAAGACACCATGCATTTTGCATCATTAGCTAGCAACATCGCGACCATAAAGAGTGCCACACTGATAAGATTATCAAACCGCGCTAAAGTGACCCTCAACTCGACGATCGCTTACGACAATGAGCAGATTGCTGCAAGACCGCCCGCTTAGCGTCCGCGTGGCGCGTATCTCGGGTATCACCCGCGGGATATCGCAGTACTCGGCATCTTCCGGCACTCTCCGCCTTGCCCACCTCCGACAATCCCCGGAACGCAGCGGCTCCCATCTGTTACAAGCGTCGCTGCCTGGGCCCAACTGATCTTACATAAGAGGGATGTGCAGGAGCACCAGCTTCTTCACAGTTGTCCCGAATTCCAATGTCGGTCTAGACTTCAACTCTGTCGGTCTAGACTTCAACTCGGCCCACGACACCAACATTCTGGCCCAGCTATATCCCGATCCGTGGGAATAGAAGTCAAGAACACTCCAGTTCGATTACCTCATCACTTATCGAGGCTTGCAGAGCACTGCAGCATTCGGCTGCTCACATGCAGAGTGTGACTTTCGTCTATTGATACTGATCTTCACATATGTATTGAAATAGCTCCATTGTCCGTAAAGACCTAAATTGTAGCTGATATGCGCATGATCGGACCCCACTCCTAGCCCCGGAAACTTCTTTCTTGCCCCTCTTCTCGCTCGCGCCGTGCGTAGTCCAGAATCTACTGAGGTGAAGCGAGTTGGCGACAGCGCTTTACACAAGAGAGTCTGTGCATGCAGAGCTTACCCTACAATGGGCAACAAATCGATGGCCGGTGACGGTCCGGATTCACGCATCACCCAAATGAGCTCCGGGGTAAGGGCGAGGCATAAGTAACGATAGCAAAGCCGACGGTAGCGTAAAGAGAACGCTTGCCCGACGCATGCCGAAGGGCAATGGCACAGGTGACCTCAGTTCAGCGTATGAGGCTTGGACGAAGCGACATGTCAGCTGTCAGATCTTGGTGACGCCCGGACCGGCGAACGCCATGAAGCGCCACACTTCGGAGGACGCACAGGCACGATGCCGTCAGCAATTGTCCTGATAAGCCATCGGGACGAGCAGTCGTACACTTCCACCCTTCTTCTTCTCGCAGCGGACCTCGACGCCCAGCCCACAGACACCCACGCCCTTCCTCTTGTGTTCACTGATGTGCAGACTGCGCACGACTCTAACGAGATCTCGCCCCACCTGCTTGCACCACACGCTCAACGTGTACTGACTGCGATGTCCGTGTAACGCGGACGCACCTCTTCCGCTCTACCTTCCTTCTGTCTTCCCCATCACTTCGACTCATTCCCCACATGGCTTCTCCTCGTCACATGCACCTCGTTTGCTTACACGACGTCGCACCAGCTTCGGTGCCATCCCATGTCCCTGCGCGCGCTCGCACTACATCTTGCGCAACCGCAGTCCATCCACTCAAGCCACCAGCACGGACGTGGCTTCGACAAAGTTGTCCGCCGGTCGCCACCCGCAATATGAGCTGGTAGTAGGGCGCTGAAAACATTGCCCAGGCTGACCAGGCTGGATGACATGTTGCAACTGAGCATCCTTTCGAGCGGACAATAGCACCGCGGCAGCACCACGGCGGAGCGGCAGGCTGAACGGCACGGCAGAGGCGGCTCAAGATCTCAGACATCGCGCAAAAGTTGGGCCTGGCTGCACCGCGCGCACAGCAGTCCTGCAAGCACGCAGAGAACACGGGTCCGCTGACGCGCTTTGCGCCTCATGAGTCTTACACACAGCCCGGTGCTTGCGCTCGCCTCGCCGCCTGGTCCGGTCACTCATCTCCACATGCTGCTGCACTCTCTGCTCACCCGATTCTCACTTGCTTTCGCCCAGTCTCTGATCACAGATCGATCAGCACGGCAGCGGCAACTCACCCGCAGCTCGTAACTCCAGTTCAGCCTGTCGGAACGCTCACCAAGATCGTCGCTACGTCACCGCCGTCGGCAGCGCTTTGCCCACTGATTCACCCGACGCCCTCGAAAGCATCCTGCTCGTTCCGCGACGCTTCGCCCGTCGCTCGGCTCTGTCATTCCCGAAGAACCTGTGACACGTTCCCACCTCGCCACCTGCGCCCGTTGCTTCCTGATCAGCATCTTCTCCCTTGACAGTCCGCGAGTTCACCAACGTGCCTGCGTATCGCCGCTCGTCGACCGCCCAAAGTCCCATCCGTCAAACTCAGACGGCCCAAAATTGCATTCCATGCCGATAATGACGATCTCCTGCTCCTCCGACCCGCCGCCCGATGCGTCACCAAGCAGCACTGCCAGCCGTCCTGCACAGCCCACACAGCAGGGGCTGCCTCGACCTGCGACAGCCTCGGCAGCGTCTCCGGCACCAGCACCTCTGCCAGCCAGCAAGGTTGGCACGATGGCGAGGCTGGCGAGTGGTCGATCATTCCTTGCTCATCGGCGGCAACTGAATCCCCGCATTCCGGCCGATCCGCGTTCAACGCACACACCGGCTTCCCGAGGGCCGTCCCAATCCTTTCGAACGAACAACTCCTCATCGCAGCATACTCGCCCACGACCACGGCAAGCTGGTGACCGGGCCCCGCCTCCGTCGCCGGCTGCGCCTCCACCCTTGCTGAGACTCTCGGCGTCTGGCCCTGGGCCATCGGGGCCGCCTGGGGGAAACACGTCTGAGAAGGACACACCATGCTCGGCACCAGTCTCTCGCCTGGCGCGCACGGCGTCCCGGCGCGGCATTTCCATCGATGTCGCGCTCAGTAATGTTCAAGCTCAAAAGCAGACAGCACCAGCAGCGAGTGCGGACTTGCCCACCCGCTTCGATGCGTTGTCGACCCCACCCAACACCAACCTACTCAGTGTACCGACATTCGCAGCCCCCAGATACTCTGCAAGCACAGGGAGCTTTACGCCAATGCCGTCTCCGACCTTCCGCCGCGGGCTGACCGTTGCCATCATGACGGGCGATGGGGAGATTGTTGCGGAGAGCGCACCAGTCACGCCTCGAGGGTTCCCTGACGACTCGGAGCCTACCCCACAAATGCTCAACGGCCATGATCGCAAGAGCCCTGTGCCATCAGGCATGGGCACGTCCGGCGCTCCCAGGCAACGCGAGATCATCCTCTGCCGGTACTACCACACCGAAGGGCTAACGTGCACCTCGTCACCGTGCCGATTCGTGCACTCTCTGGAAGGCCTGTCGCTGCGGGGCTCCTCTCTGAAGTCCGGGACGTCACCGGCGCCCTCGGGCCGCTCGTCCCCCGTTCACCCTCAACAGCAAGTGGAGAAGCGCACTCCGTCGATGCCCAGCTCCCGACTGAGGCTCGTATCGCACTCCGGTCGCCTCAGTGCGACACCAGCGGTGACCATTTCGTCGCCTGATCCGACTCGCGGCACGTTCGCCCGCGCGCAAGACGCCACCCCGTTAACGGAGCTGCAGCTCGATGCAGACGCTCTTGCCACGATCCAGTCGGGAGACCCAGTGTCCCTGCGCGACGCTGAGGGCAAGGAGATTACGGGCCACGTCTTCAAGCTAAGCGGCGGAGGGAAAGGAGCCGGCGGCAAGAGTCGAACCAAGTACAAGAGTGAGTATAGCGGTTGCTAATGATATCGAGAGGAAAGGTTGTTGAGGCGACGGTTTGCGATGTGGCATTCCGAATCCGGATGCGATGACCGCTTCTTCTGCCCGGCGCCCCGAGCAATAGGTCGCGGTTGACTTCCGCGGCGCCAATCAATGGGAAAACCATGGCGGCTCGCTTAAGCTGGTGACACCTAAAGCGATGAATCACGGCGGCGATGGAGATGACACAAAGGCCGAAGTATGCAGTGTGCTGACAATACCCAGCGGTCCCATGCCGCGACTACGCAGAAAGCCACTGCGCGTATGGCGACTATTGTTCTTTCATCCACGACCCTGCCAACTTGTACGACCCTATTAAACATGGCAAGAAGGAGCCCAAGCCGGACTCTTCGCCCTCGAACTCCTTCAAGCGTACCATGTCCGAGCGACCCAGCAGCGACTCGTCCACCCCCAGCGACACCATCCTCACCCCGCCGACCGATGTCCCGCCAGCGCTCTCCCAGGTCGCACTGAAGGGTGTCCAGTCCAACTCGCAGTCGGGTGCTCCCAGCTCAGCAGGGGTCAAGACACCGTCGATCGTGACTGACATCCCGGCCGAGATCGACCAGAAGATCGTCCCCACGGGTGCTCCGCCTGTGTCATCGGCTGCTGCGCACACGACGTACGAGGTCCCGTTCGATGCCGTCGGCAATGTCGCCCAGGGCCCTGTGTACACGATGTCACCAGCCGAGTACGGCAGCGGTGTCACCTGGGTCGAGTGGAACCCTGCATGGGGCACCGCTCAACAATGGCCGACCCAACAGGTGCCGCATACGCCGTGGCAGGTTCCCGTCTCGCCCGTCGGCATTGCTATGAGCCCAGTCTCGCCGCTTCCACCTGCTGCCCAAGAGTCCTCCGTCGTCTGGACTCCTGACGGCTTCCAGGTTCCGGACACGAGCGCTCGCACTCGTGGATTCTGGAGGACAAAGCCGTGTCGCCTGTTCGCGCAGGGCATCTGTCACCATGGTGACAATTGCAGCTTGTGAGTCAAAGTTACCCATCTCCATAACCGCACCTAACCCCCCCCCCCCCCCCCC